GGTGGTTGCCCGGCCTGTGGTGGTTGCCCTGCCTGTGGTGGTTGCCCGGCCTGTGGTGGTTGCCCGGCCTGTGGTGGTTGCCCTGCCTGTGGTGGTTGCCCTGCTTGTGGTGGTTGCCCAGCCTCTGATTGTTGCCCGGCCTGCGGTTGTTGTACGGCCGGTGGTTGTTGCCCTGCAGCCATGGGGACTTCATTACCTTGTTGTGGTGGGACCTGATTGGCCTGTGGGATTTGATTGCCTTGTGGTGGTACTTGGTTGGCTTGGGGGATTTGCGCCTGGTTAGCATTGACTGCATTTATTTTAGCTTCTTCTTGTAATTTTAGAGCTTCTTGATTTACTATTGGTTGTTGAGCCTGTTCCTTTAAAAAACAATGGAAATAATATTTAATTCCCAATAACACTGTTACATTATCCAATAACACTATATTTTAACCAATTAATGAATGACTACAATACAAAATGACATGCTAATGACTTTTAAAACAAAATATTATATTATCACATCCAAAATATTATGACAAAATAGATCACAATAACAATCACACAGGTATGAAAACAACTACAATTTATATTGTTTAGGTTTTACAGTATATGAACATGTTATTTTTAAATATTAATAAAAAAAAAAACCCAAACAAAATTAAATTTCAGAACTTTTCAAATTCTTCATTGCATAAACACTGTAAAAAAAGTACTACAAAATAAAACCAAGCATTAAAGCTAATTGTGCATGCTCACAAAATATCTTGGTGTGCATACAATTTTATTTTACATGTATATAGTAAAGCATGAAGTTAAGTTTGGTTTAGGTGGGCCCAAGAATTCTGTTAGTCCCAAGATATTGTTGTCTGAATAGTAAATAAATAACGATGTGAAATTGATTTTATTTTATTTTATTTACAACATATTTTACCAGGAATACATTTCAGTAGCATAATCCAATATAGAATTACAGAGTTTTATGCACTGTTTTTCAAATGATCCTGGAAGCGTAATGAAAATATTTACAAAAACAATTTAAAGACGTTGTGAAGAATGTGGGATTAAATTAAATTTTAAAAAATTTATCTGAAATAGTTAATAATCCAATAGCATAGTGATGTCAACACCAATAGCAGCCAAAGTAATATTGGGTGAGATAAAGTAAGGTTGACGTAAACTCAATGATAAATAGTCCATGCTTAGGAAAAATGATTGCTCTACCAATTAATAACATTTCTTTTGATATTAGCAGAATAATGATAAAATTTTTTAAAAAAAACCTCTCCAATCAAAATGGCCTTGACAAGAGGATCACAAATACATCTAGAGAATAAAACTCCAGATGTAATTCTAAGCAGTGGTGGCTCCAGAAATTTGCCAACGGGGGACTTTTGTCAGGGTAGCGGGACAAAATCATTCATGGGGAGAGAATGAATGGCAATCTTTGGATCGGCAAATTAACATGTTTAGTTTTTGTCGTTGGAAGATGGAAGTCCATGCTTGTCTGTTGAAATAGCAATTACCACCCCCCCCCGCACACACACCCTTCCCTTTCCGGCTCATCTGACGACACCACTGATAGTAGGTCCTCTGATCCAGGAACCATTCAAAATGAACATCAAAAATGTACTAAAAACAAAGATATATTGTCTGTGTTGACTTTAAGATTTGAACAATACATTTTTAAATTCCAATTGTTTCCTTTTTATATTCAAGTATGTTAACGTTAGGTAAGAAGTGGGTAGTCCCACATTCAGTACTGAACATAGGGGAATGAGCTGTTAGCTCATAATATTAAGTCTTGCCATTGCATGGCACTTCCTTTCCATGCTGCCTTTTTAACGTCCGTGGTATATTTCAACCAGGTATCTATCTATACTACTGGGTAGAATGAGACAAGCGCAGGTAAAGTGCCTTCTCCAAAGACACTAGCAAAATGCACAGCGAGGGTTTAAACACTTGATCTCGAGGTTGAGAGCCAACCGCTTCCATCAGGTTAATATTACCTTATGATTAAAAATATTCCGTGTTTGAATTGCATTTTTTAATACAGTTTCCCCCACATTTTACCACAGACAATAAATCTTGTGCAAGATGTGTACCGTACTACTGAAGCTACAAAATGTAATATGAAACTGAACAGTGAAATGTTAAAGATACCTATTAAACGCTCTTGACTGTTTACTACAAGACAATAACAATGAAGACAAAGTTAGCATAGAATATGTATATAGACAGGGATGTGCATATTAAATGGTGATGTTTTTAAGATTCGATTCCCTCCTCCTTAAGAGATGAACTCTGACCCAATCAAAATATTTTAATTGTACTATGAAGGTATAAAGAAGGGGAGCTGGGCCTTAATCGGCTGAACTGTTTCTCCTTCGAGCACCCTGTCTCATAGATATCCCTCCCACCACCAATAATTTTTTTCGAATGTCCATGCACATCCCTTGAAACAAGTATTTGTACAATTAGAAAGAATGCTGATACATAATTATGTGAAGCAAAGCATTAAACCCTATGTTACTGACATCATAACACCATGTGACATGCCTTCACTACTGAGCAAAGCTATGCAAGCGGTTGATACAGTTGAGTGCCTCCAAAACCCAGTCGCAGTTTACAAAGCTTTTTTAACTGCCATAAAACATAACTTGATAGGTCGTTGCTCAGTAACAAAACAATATCATGTGGTACCATGAGGTAGCAAAGTGGTGCTTTAGAAAGAGATATTTTTATTCAAAAAAATTAATTTCGATCAATTATATGGTAATTAATATTCCCTTATTATATTTAATAGAAAATAATTAATTTTAATCTACTCCGCACCCCAATCTTCACACAAAATATGGCTCAGGTATAGTAATTTCATTGACAGATCAAACTAAATAATTTATTCGTTTTTGTAGGAACTGGTTTCACACAAAAAATAATGAATCCTAAAATCTGATACTGTTTAACTTGAACTTATTTTTGAAAAAATTTGCTTACCTGCTTCTTCTGATCAATAGCATTGTTAGCTGGGTCAAACTTGAGTTTATCATTTCCCTGTTGCATTTCTGTCAGTTTCTTTTGAGCAGCAGCCTAGCAAGCAAGACAACAAAATTAACCTTTCACCCTTAAAGGCAGGCTCCAGAGGAAAACAATTTTATGATATGTTGTACAATTTTTCTAAGACACAAAAAGGATATTTGATGGAAAGCTTGGGAAAGTTGATACGGATTTATAAATTATTAAAAAACTTGGAGAAAAGGGGTGTAACCGCTCTTTTTCCACCTTTTTTAATCAATCTAATAATTAAATAAATAATAATTATTTATACATTTTTTATTGCATAGATTCCATAATAATCAAGTGTGCAGCACATTATTAGATATTCGGTAAACATTCTTAAGAGGAATAGGTTGTATAGTTGCAGACATCAACCAGATACTCAATTGAACTCTTTGAGAAAAGATAAGCTACCTTGAAAAAAAAAAAACTGGCTGGCATTACCAAGGATAAAAAGTGCTTGGTAACCAAGAGGAAAGGGCTTTTAAATGCTCTTTACTTTAATAAAACATAACATCCCCAGCATAGTCACATAATCAGAATTTAAGTAATATGTGACATCAAAATTAATAGCTTACCTGGTCCAAAACAACCTGTTCCATATTAACAGCCTGCTGTTGTTGTTTTATATCTTTCTGCAAGGTGCCCTGCTCCATCTGCATCTTTTGTTTGCGAGCCTCAAACTCTTCCCGTTGTTTCTGTCGCTTTAGCTCCTTCTCTTGCAATGTCTTCTCATAGCCTTCCAATTCCTCTTCCTCAAACATTTCTTCCTGTTGAAGATCCTAAGAAGTGAAAGGGAAAAATATGTTGATTAGTGTTGCTGAGGGGGCTGAGTGGGAAAAATAAAGCAAAGTTGACATCATTCCTGAAATCAGTATTTTTTTCATATTTTTTATGAATGAAAGTTGAAAAGAAAAGAAGCATTCTCTGTAAGTTTTGTTTTAAGAGAAGGAAGAGTCAAAAGACATTGATAGAGAGGAACATAATGCATTAGATATTGATGAAATATGTTTTAAATTTCAACAAAAGTAACTTGAAAACACAGTTTAATGGGGAACCAAGAAAAAATTTTAGGAGTGTCTTTAAGTTTGAAACTAACTGCTGTCATAGTTATGACAGAAAATTGGAATTGTTTTTAGGTAATTAGTACTGGTACCAGCCACCAAAGCTTTCTAAGAACTAATGAACCAAATATGAAAAAAAATTAAAACCTTGGATATAGGGAAAAGGCAGATTTTAGAAGAATAAAAAGAAGACTCTTTAAGGTAAATTAAAAGTAGTTAAATGTTAATGTAAAGTAAATGAAAAAGTTTTCATCCTATAGGGAACAATTTTTTCTTAGATAATGCTAAGATTTTTTTTTTAATAAAGAAAAACTACAGCAACTAAGGAAGGGGCAAGATGGTAAAACTATAATCTGTTAACCAATATCTTACCTTGATTAAGTCCTTGACAAATAGTGATAATTTGATAAAAAATATATTTATGAACAAAATCATGTAAACTATTACGCAGCAATCATGAACTTAAACTAAGAATATATTCTTAAGGGCTAATTGGTCTTAAGTCAACTATGACCCATCATTTCAAAGCTTACAATGTGGAGGATAAACGTATATTAAAAAATTCAATTTTTATTGTTTGGTCCCGTTTTATATAGAATGAATGAATGAGTGAATGACTATATCAAACATCAAAATATCATCAAAAGAAATTAAAAATTTATCTACTTTAATTGAGCTACTTTTTTGCTGCTATTAATTATATCAATGTGCAAGGTGAACTTAGTAATCTAATAAAATAATAATGCATTGGCTTCTTACTTCCCATCCTTCGTCCTTTTCAAACTGGCTCTCATCGGTAGCTTTCAAAAACTCCTCTTTGCTGACTAGTTTGTTCTTATCTAAGTCAATCTGAAAGAAAATTAAGATAAATTTATTAAAACTGAAAATATGATCACAAACAACAGACTCTAGATTGTAAACATTAAACACATAATTATAAGACTGTTGTGGGGCAAATAGCTTAGATCAAAAGTACGAACCACTAAATAATAGGTAGATTCCATGTTTCTAGTTTTTGTATGAGGGTTTGTAGAACAATACTTTTAACTTACCATGTGTTTTCTTTGTTAAATATGTACTATCAGTCAAAGACAGGAAAGTACCTCAACAATTCAAGTAAAATTTTGAATAGCTCATTTGAAAGGATCAAATAAGTAGGGGGATTCGGCAATGTTTGGCAATGTTTGACAGCCGGTCACGTCACCGAATCCGAATCCCTCTTTTATTAGCTTCCAACGATAAACAGATCAAAAAAAGTAATTTTCACTGACAAAAGAATACAGAAAAGTTATCTAACTGTCCAAAAACTGATGGGGGATTTTTTTTTTAATTAACATTTTTAATTTTAAAGTTAATAACTTACTCAAATACACAAATTAAGCAATTCAAATGTGCAATTATAATTTTCAAATTTTTACCTCATGACTTATAGTACTATTCTACAATCAGTGCAAAAAAATCATAGGGGGCCTTAAGATGGAAATTTTTATCTAGAATTTTATTAGTAATTGAATAATAAGTAATAGGTTACTGTACCTCTGCAAGAACATGTTCTCTCATTCTGGCCAGCTCTTCAAATTTTTCCTTTGGGTCAGCTACTGAATCTTTGTATATTTTCTCAACCTAATATTTAATCATTTATAGAATCAAATAATAATAATAATAATAAAAATATTAACGACGACGGCGGCGGCGACGACGACAACGACAACAACAACAATAGTCATCTTATTTGGCACACGTACCCATTTCTGGCAGAGCAGCTCGCGGCACCAGAAATTGTTTTAAAGTTGTATAGCTACGGTAAAATTTAGCTGAGAGAAGCTTAGCTTTAGTCGGCTAAACTGATGGCGGCTACTGTGTGTATGTTGAACTATGCCAATCGCTGCTCTTCTTGTCTTTCAGCTGGAGGGCTGAAGCACAAGTCTCAATAGCTCACCGTCTAAGCCGTTAGTCCTGTTTGCAATATGGCCCATGTGCATGTTAAAGAAGGCAGTACACTCCACAGAAAAGAGTAGTTGGATAGTCTCCTGGTGTTCTGCCAAAATCATCACCAGAAGGAATGTATTGGATATAAGTGTTCTTCAAGACTTTTGTGGGTTATCGTTGGTGCTGGCACAAGTAAATCCAATCCAAAACATAACTTTAAAAATTCAATTAAAATATGTTGCTGCTCATTAACAAAATAACTTGGATGCACTGATGCACATGCAACTTCACTACAAATCTAGTTGAGGCCATATATGTCAAAAGATCCATAATTTCTGAAATGGGATATTAATTATTGTGTACCTGAGTACACTAAAACAGTTGTAAAATTATTTTAAACTGGTAAACTTCATTTCTAAGTCTACTAATATGCAAAGTGCTTTTGTATTTGTATTTATTTGTATTACCTCTTTGATAAATAAAGCCTCAAGTTCAAATGGATCGAGGTTACCATCTCCATTGGTATCATGCAAGGCAAAGAACGTCCTTGGATTGAAGTCCTCCTTGTCGAGATGGTCGGTTTCTTCCCACACTTCCTCAAGCTGGGCTTTGCTACCCTATAAAAATGTTAAAATATGTCCGTATTACAACAGACAGGAAGACTTAGTAATGTATACTTTACGTAATAGTTTTTAATCTATTCCAGTTGTTGTAAGGAGGCGGTTTGGTGCAGCGGCTGCGGGTCTGTTTCTCAACCTTGAGGTCGGAGGTTCAATCCCTCGCTGTGCATTTCCTTAGACTTTACCTACGGTTGTCTCTCTCCACCCAGGAGTACAAGTGGGTATCTGGTAGATTCAAACACAAAATGCGCTGATTACAGCTGCAACATTATGGAATTCTCCCCAGGGAGCTGAGAATGTGTTCCAAATGTGCTTCATCCAGTGACCAATGGTGATAATGTGAAGCACTTAGTGGCCTTGTGTGCATTAAGCGTTATATAAGTCTAACACATTATTATATTATTATTATTCATACACAATAAAATTGTATTAGGATGGCTCACTCTAAATGATTATGTCAACAGGTGGGACTGTTTACTTTTAAATGTGTTCAAAAACATGCACTCAGCAGCTCAGGTCAATCTAAAAAACCACACCCCTTCACTTATGGGCACGGGTACTGTTTTTGCCCTGCGACTTTTGTACACACTTCCTGCAGCCATCCAAACCCGCCATACTAAACCATAAAACCTTGAATAGAAGCCTAATGAGCTTAATCTCGAGAAGAAGCCCTTCTTGAGTTGAAGTCCCCTCTTTAGTTTGCAATACTAGCCTCAAAAAAAGCCCATCTTGGGATTCTCTTCAAGATTTCAAAGTAACAGAATAAATTTAAAACATGCTTGGTTTTTACAGTAGTTCAGGTGATTTAATGCCGGTTAATACACTCTATGATATAGATTGATGTTACAGTGGCCCTATTTATTGTTTTATAGTAATAATTCCAAAAATTTACAGCATTCATTTTGAAAAGAAGCCCCTCTTTACTTTGTAAAAGTAGCCTTGAAAAGAAGCCCATCTCAAAAAGAAGCCCATCCAAAGTTTGCCGAAAAAATTAGAAGCCCTCTTTATACCTTCTTATTTGAGGGGTTAGTCGACACCTAATATATTATATGATGTTACTTACTGGATGTTTTATTTTGTCATGTTCTTTGAGTTTTTTCTTCTGATCTTGATATTCGTTTTCGGCAGCCTTACGGTGCTGTTCGTCCATTTCTTTTAATTTCTGCCTTCTTTGAAGTTCTTTTTCCATTTCATAGTTTTTAAATTCTTCACGTCGTTTCTTATCTGCAGCATCTAAATCACTTGTTGCCTGAACAAAACATTGTGGACGTAATTGGATTGGTACAAACATAAACTGATGAATGTTCTACATGGATGAATGTTGATAATGACAATGACAATGATATGATGATGATGATGGCAATAAGGATGATGAGTGACAAGAATGATGATGAAGATTATTATAAAACAAGAACAATCGTTAAAACTGAAACAGTTAATAGATGGCGCAGAACAGTTTTGAAATGTAGGGGAGTGTCGTGAGTCCACACCCACATCAGCCCCACCATGGTTGGGGCTGACATGTGAAAATTTGTACCCCTAAATGGCCAGAAATGACACTCTAATAGTAAAATTCATCATCATGTACAGTGCTCTTTCGTTAAATTTGGGTCATTTATGCAGTTCATTTCAACATCTTTCAGGCATCTTTTTGACTTGAAATTACATTACGACCTAAAAGTGGGGGAACCACCTAAAAAATATTGGGGGGGAGGGTGTCCTACCGCCCCCCCACCCCCTTCATGATCTGCGCCCATTTAATAATTTATAAATTTATAATTTACTGGTATAAAATGAGATAAAAATAAATTAAATGCTAATATTACATGTATCAAAACAAGGTAATGAAGACATTTGTTTCATGCAATAGTGTAAGAAACACATGCACTGAAAATACTACATATCATCAACTTGCTGGTGTTTTAACATTTTAGTGTCATATACAGTTCTTGAGCTACAACTTTATCATGCATTTTGTGCAGCCAAAATGTTCATATTTGGACTCATCTAAATTTAAATGCTTACTATGATCACATACATTCAAACTGATACTTGCATTGTTTCAACACAATCTATAGTCTGCTTCAATTTCACCATATTTTAGAGTACCACCAATTATAAACTAGATTTTTGATACGCATAATTGAAATTAATGAACATCTTGAGAGAAATGTATTTCTTAACAGTTTGGATTATTTCAGAGATATTACTATATAACAATGAAGGTATTAAATGAGAATACCGAATCACAAGGCCATTCTGATCTACTGTAGGATAGTATGAAGGATAGGGTATAAATTATATGAACATTAGAAATACTATAATTTGAACAATGAAGAATTACATGATTTTGAAAAACATCAGTCAATAAAGAAAATAGGATGAAAATTAAGATAGCACAACAAATTGTGCAAGGGTAATAAAGAAATAAGAAATCCGTATTTTTGAAAAATTGTGGATTTTTGTAATGTTGATTTTTGTCGTTCCAATGAAATATAAAAATTAAAAATCAATTAAAAAAAATATTAATTGAAATATTAAAAGGGTATTATTAGTAAACAATTTCTTGCAAGGGTATGATGCTTCATATTAGTATAACACATATGCATAATTTCAACAGAATTGTTTACCTTGCGCAGAAGATTTGTGAGATCTCTTTCGTTAAAGGTGTCTGGATTTTTAGGATCGACATGCCCAACAAGATTCTCAAAACTTTCTTTGGGATTACTTCCTGGGATCCCTATTAACAACAACATAGGAGGCATGCAAAAATGATTCAACTGAGAATATTTAAACTTAAAAGAAGTTAACATTGTGAAACATGAGTGATGTACACAATACTAGCAGTAACTTACAGTTTAGAAGAAACTATTGTTGTATATGATAATGAGAACTTAAACTGTGCAAAGTTTTTTGTCAAAAAAAACCCCTTTTTCACCACATTTATAAGGGCCCGTAGCTTTTGAACAGTGTGTTATATTTCAGAAATTCAAACTGCAAAATGACCAGTGCATGCGCAGTGAGTTTTGTAGATGTGATATAAAAAAATAAATTAGATTTTTTTTCATTGGGATACCTACTTTTGATAGCTTACGCCTGATTTTGGCATCTCAAGCGTGACAAACATACGAAGAGACAGATTACATAATCATCCCACATGTTCATGTTAGTTATGTGATTATACACTCATGGGCCATGTTTTCTTGAATTGTGAATTTCTAGGTTTGATCAAACTATAGAATTACGAAATAAATAATGGTGGTGTTGTGCATTATAAAAAAATTCCATTGCACATTTTGTTTCAAATGAATTCTTGAGCAAAAAATTACTATAGTTTTCTAATTGTAACTTATATTTACTTTTATTTTGCATTTGAATGACCATTTGCATGGTGAGTTAGTGAAAAGATTTTAAAGGATCAACTGCATCGGAGTTTGCAAGTTTCCTTTCAACTCTACAGATCAAACACTGTAGTTTGAGAATAGTTATAGCAGACAAAATCTGACAGATATTTTGACAGACGTCAATCATATATTTACAGGATTACAAGCTCTTTAACATTGATCCCCTATTAAATAGCTTTCAATGTTTATAATTTTCAACAAAAACATGTGACATGCCTAAATATGGTAATGATGACATCATATAATATCATGACCATATATAGGCACATCATGACTATATATGGGCATTAGTGTGGGCAAATCTTAAGGATGTACTGTATATGGGCTCACATAAATTATACTACATGAACATGTTGGACAATCAATTTAAAGGATAAAATGAAAAAAAATGGAGTTTTTTTAAGGTTTACACCACCATAGTAACAAGAGCTACTTTCGACAAGCCTTTTTTTATACCTTGTTTAGTGAACCTGTCAACGCAAATATTGATGATTTCGAATAAAAAACAAAATTTTATTTTTGGCCAATTATCGCACTCACCACCACGCAAAAATGGATAATTTAAAAAAAAAATTATGTTTTAAAAAAATTTTTTATTATGCCCTCCTCTGCCTTGAAATCTCCAAAGATATATGTAAATTTGAAGCATTTCACAATCCCATTTTACATTCACAAATAACAATTTATTTTTATTTTCTCCTCCGTCCGGATGTTTTTGGCAAAACTATTTGCTAAATAAAAAAAAACAAAATTTTATTTTTATTTTTATTCCGCCCTCCTCTGATGATCTTAAAAAAAGTACGCGGAACAAGGAATAAAAAAAGTCTCGCCTTACAATAATTAGTTGACCAATGATAAAAAGTTGCACAATATTTGTTGTCTACATCTACTGTACATACTACATAAATATGTCAGATGATCAATTAAAAAAGAGGATAAAGGAAAAAAATAAAGCATCAAGGATTACGCCACCATAGCTACAAGATACTGTACAATAATTAGTTAACCAATGAGAAGCGGTGATGAATAATGCATAAAACTTTGCACAGTATTTGTTGTCAATTCCATCATATTGGTACCTTGCTTATCAATTTTTGTAAGTCTTGAACGTTAAAATTGTCACGAGAGCTAATGTCCACATGTCCGACTAGATTCTGCATGTTGTATTTACCTGTTGGGCGTCCTTTAATATATTTGATCACAAAAAAATACCATAACCAACGTAGAAACAATATATTTAGATATACATTTTTTAAAAGTCTATAAGAAAGGGAAAAAATATAACATAAACACCTGCAAAGGGTAAGGATTTATCATTCCGGTTGTAAAATGATATAAAACTTTGAAGGGCAAACAAACAGTGCGGGGATGTATCTAGGGAAGGTGCATTGTGTACGATTTTAATAATACTTCATATGTCCATATTACTCATGTGAATGAATCATTACTGCAATGTGTTCTATTTTTGTTGTGTGATGTGTATTAAAACATCAACCATCAGTATCATAATAATTATTAATATTATTATCATTATAATTATTATCATTATTATTATTATTATAATTATTATATTACAGTAACTATTATTATTTATATTTCTTAAAATCTCTGTAACACTTGCATTATTTGCCAGAAAAAAAAATTCTCCAAACTGGAGTCACAAAATATATTTACAAATTTCAAGCAAATCAGGTTTTGCTTTAATTATACATGTGAAATAAAAAAAAAATCTGTAGGCCTATTTTAGTTATTTTAACATTGGCTTCAACCAAACACGTATTGAAACAGGTGAATTTTCATATAAAATCTACAGTATATTGAACAATTTAATTATGCAGATATGCTAATACTGAATTGGAAATTCTCTAGGCATTTTATAACCACATCAATATATTCTCTAGAACCTGTATAGAGTTTTCAAATTAATTTTCTACACTGCTTTGTAAATCTGTATTTTTCCCACGATGTTAATTAACATATGTTTGGATGAAACAGATGTTTACTTTCAGAGTATTAAAAGTAAAAAAAAAACGAAAGTTCTTATCTAATCTGTATTTCTAAATTTTAAATTAAATAAATAAAATAATATAATAAATAATCAAATAAAATATAAAAAGAAAACAGATAACCCAAATTAAATAAAGAAATCAAAACAATCATTTACATAAAATAATTGAAAATTAAAAAAAATAAATAGCCAAATAAGGGAATGATGGGATGTATAATTTAAAAGCAAATTGAAATGAACAAACATTATACAGATTCTGAAAAACCTGTGAATAATTTATTATTTTAATTTAAAATAATTAAATCATAAAAGATAAAATTTTAAAAATTGACCAAAATTAATATAAAAATTAAATTAAGAAATCAAAATATTAAAATCCATAACATGAAATAATCAGATAATCAAAAAAGGCAGAATAAGGGATGGATAATCTAAAAGGAAAATAAAATCAGATTTAAATAAACAAAAATTATACAGATTCTCACAAACCTCTGTATAGTACAGTTTATCAATGAATTCTTGTACTTGAAACAAAAACATTGGGAGAAATAACATTTAATGTAAATACACAATTGATTTAATGTTAAGGGAAAAATAATGAATACAAAAATTACTTTATTTTTCATTTACACTTACAAAAACAATACAAATATTAAACATGAAGTGATGCCACTACATTTTGAAAATTTCAACACATACTGTACAAGAACAACAAGAATGTTTCGACAGGGCATCCGGTCCATTTGTTATGCCACTACTGCTGCCACTTCTCACCTATTAATTCTGATAATTTGATGGTGCCCCTCCCCTGTTTCCCTCCTCCACACCTCCCTTCCCAGTTTGAAAAATTCTGAATCCTCCCTTGTTTACTACCACATTGATACTTCTAACTACATTGCATTACTTACCAGCTTCTTTTTCGACCATCTGCTTAGCAACAGCTCTAAGTCTCTGTACTTCCATACGTTTGAGTTCATCAAGCTGACTGCGGAAATGACCTGGCATCTGGTCCAATTCTAAAGCAAGTTTTCCACTCTATGTGTCAAGAAAAGATAACAATAATTATCTACTACTAATGATAATTGGAAAGAAAATTATAATTTCATTGGGTCAACATTTATCATGATTTGATTTTGTTGAATCGTTTTTTTGAAGCATTCACTCATTCAAGTACTTTATTCACCAAATTTACAGTCAAAACTAAATTACATGGATGTTTACATTAAGAAATACAATACAAAAACAAACAAAGAACAATCCAGCAGCAATTAAAAACCCACAATAAAAAGCATACAAACATTTTAAAAATACCAATAATAGACAACAGCAAAAAAAAATTCAATAAAATGTTGAAATTAAAGATTCATTGTACAAGACAATAAAAAAAGCAATATCGTAAATTTTATAAAAAAGAAATTTAGTTTGATGTTGTTGAAATGAATACTTTGTTGGTTAAGGTACTTGCTTTACAAACCCAGCGTCCTGGGTTAAATTCCTTTGACTGCCCGGACTTTTCTCATGACTAAAACAAATCCCCTCCCTAGGCCTTGACATGATTATTTTTCTTAATGACTTTCTGTGTGTTACTAGATGAGAGTCGTTCTTATTTAGTTTGTCATTGTGATTTTTTTAAAACTTCTGATTGTGGCCATCCCATTCAGCTTTGTGTAAACGAATAAAAATAAGAATATCACCTTTAGATCCTCGAGATTACTAGATTCCATTTTCTTCCTCATTTCAGGATCCTTCTCTAAAACACTAATAACTTGGCGCAAATATTTGTCATACTCTAGTCCAGTGTCCTGTGAGGGGAAAAAATGTAAGCAATTTCATTCTATGTAATAATTTAAGGATCGGTTCCCACCTAAATTAATTTGCCCATATATAGGCATGATGATGTCATATTATGCCCATATACTGTATGGGCAATTCATGTATGCATTACAGAGCTTGGAAACAGATTGCTCACCATATCATCCTCCAACTTCTCTTCAGAAGAAACTGGCTGAACTGGTTTCATATCCACCACACTAAGTGCACAGAGCACCAGCAGCCATATTAACTTCATATTGATCTAGAAGAAATAATATATGTAATAACCTATGTGATATCATGTAGGCCTAGAAGTTAAGAGGAACTTGTTCATTCCTGAAAATAAAATAGTGCACCCTTATATCTGATGGTTTTGTCACCAGTTCCTTTTTGTTTGTTGTTAGATGTTTACAGTATTTTACTTTTGCACCAGCACTGGCTCTGTCTCTAATCTAGGCTATATATGATAGCCAAAAATTGTTTTTTTAGTATTATCTCGTCAAGATCCGCATCATGTCAGGCCTAGACTCTTGTTACGGTAGCCGGGCACACAGCACACAGGAGGTCCCAGCCTGCTGTACTGTAGCCTAGGTTAGGCCTAGGCCTGACTTCGGCTAGGCCTAGTGTACTGTAGGCCTACTTACTTAGCCTAGCCTACTAGTCTAAAGAAAGGAGGTTGAACGAAAAAAGATGCCTAGCTAGGGCCTAGCCTATCTTATAGTTACAATATACAAGTTAACTCCTTACCAAATTTAAATATTATTGCAACTCGTCGTTCTACCCAATATTTAGCCTTTTCTCTTAAAATATAAAGTGAAATATTGTTGTTGTCCCCGTTTTGCTCAATGCTCCGTAAGGTTGACGTGGAGATCATACACAATTTTGGATATTCACACGGTTGTTGGTGTATTTGAGATACGGCAGTCGTGCAGAGTTTAAAGGTTATTACAGGTCGCTAACCTCAGGGCAGTGCACCAACTCTCCTCCATATCTTCTTATAAACACAACATGTATAATTAATGATAAAAATACAAATTATATTTTCAAAGATAAACTAACTACAAAAACACCACAAAGTGTAATTAGCTGCTAAAAATCCAAGGAGCCCACCCATGTCTCTGAAATATATTATTTCTTTGATAAGAGAGGAGGAGGAGACACATACGCCATCATAACTACTAGAGAAATGGATTTGATTGGTTACATCTGTTAATTTGGCTAATGATTGACAACATGACGTGACATTTGTTACTACACTACTAGGCCTGCATGAAATGAATTAACGAAACATAAACTTCGCGGTCCAGTGGTCTAGAAATAGAAGGCGTGTTTACTTTTGTGTTCATATTCCATCGAAAGAGGCTTATCGGGCTTGTAAATTGTTGTTCGTTTTCACAAAAACTGAGCCACAAGGTGAGTATTGACCATCTTTTGCAATTGAACAAGAAAAAGTGTTTTCACATGAATGTTTATGTTTGGACAAAATTATAATAATTCTCTAGCAAGGCAAGCGTTTTGATGTAATAATAGGCTAGCCTCTAAGGCATAGGCTTTACAACTATGCACTAGGCCTAGGCCTAGAAGTGTTAGGCTAGGCCCCAGCCTGGTCGTGGAGTTGTTTGTGTAGCCTTCAAGCTAGGCTAGGCTAGGCCTGAATCTCAGAAAGATTAATTGAGGTTTAGGCCGAGCCTAAACCTAAGCCCGGTGCAGATATATTACGTACTGTATAAATTTAAAATAATTAAATAACATTTACATACAGTAACTAAGGGCAAATAGAAAAATTTATTAGATATATTTTGGAAATATTAATGCGGGAATATTAAATTTAATTTTTTTTTTTACTAATTAATTTTTTTTTTTTTTTTTTTTTTGTCGCATCATTTATTTTAACTACATATAAACAACTTTGCAAAAAACAAATGCTCACAAAATATAAATGAATTGGCTCAAAATTCGGCAGACTCCAAACTCTTCCAATTGATTAGATCAGACGTTGGGATCACCATAAAGTTGAAAATGCAAAGCCCATTCTTTAAACTTGTTTACTGTCGCTGAAAATAAACAGCTCGCTACTACAGTTAAAAATAGACAAAACAATAGTCACTAAAGAGACCGCCCAGTGGGCTGATCGGATCGTTAATTCACAGCGTGTAGACTCTCGTGTTCACAGCTGCGGCTAAATATAGGCAACACCGCGGTCCATCCCTAAAGAGACCCGCCCAGTGGGCTGATCGGATCGTTGGTTCACAGCATGAAGACACATGTTCTACAGAGACTCTCGCTGCTAAAAATAACTCATTACATAATGCATTACAAGTGGGCCATCTTCCTTGTGAGGGGTGTGTTTGGTTGTAATGGTTGTTGTTGGGCAAAAATTAACCTATGACATCAAAAAAGAAAGTTTCTAAGCAAAGGGTGGACCAGCTCGAGGTAAAGACCAAAGCCTGTGCCCATGCCTACTATATAGTCACAGCTGCAGTTGTTTAAATGCATCTGCCACTTCGAAAAATGTCATGTTCGTTCTGTTCATGCACACAGGAATCCCTGAGTTTAATTCCACCTCCCCCCCCCTTCCAAAATACAAAAAAATGCCTCCTGTCCTCATCAATTAAAAAAAAAAAGTGATATCTACTGTAATAATTTTTTCTTTGTGCCCTAATGAGTTGTTATTATTATCACTAAACTACACTTCAACTTATCCTCATCCCCTCCCCAGACCTCAGACCCTGCCCCTTGTTTATCCTAACCCCTGTATTTACAGTAAGATACAATGCACTATTTACATTACAATATTTACAGTTGCCACATGCAAAATACCTCCTCATCCCCACCACCTTTCCCATCCCCGCCACCTTTCCCCTCCCCACATGCCATACCACCAGCATCTTGGTAGTGAATATACAACGGATTCCCAAGCCTAAAAAAACCACCTTCCAAACAATAAAATTTCTTTATACTTGGTCACATTGCAATCATGTAATTAACAGTTTTATATAATAATTAAACAGTTGCAACGTTCCTTGCCTTCTGCTAAAAAAAATGGATTTTAATCGAGTGTATATTTCAGACGTCAATCATACTGTAAGTAAAAGATGGATGAAAACAAAACAAATTCATAACCCTTCTTTGAACATTAATCTGCATGTTGATGTATGACATCAGCAATATCCAATGAAAAAAAGTGCAAGCCCACCATTGAACAAGTGACCAAAGCTTGGAAGTGTGATGTCACGATTTGTAATATACCTAATAGGCATGATTACCTAGGCCGAGGCTAGACAAATATACTCCACCCAAAAATGTCAGAAGTATCATGAGGTTTTCAGTTGCGCAGATCATTTCTCAAACTAGCTCAAATTTCCGTGGAAAATTGCTAGAAAAATAGGTACACAGAATCATAACTACTGCTTATCACATTTCTATTTCTATTAACTTGAAGATTAGGTTAAAAAAGCTTAATTTTCACCAAAATCTTCCCTTATTTTTTCAAAATGCGCAGACAAATTTCTAGGCCTAATTTTTGTGCAGAGGATATTTGCCACATAGGCCTTACTTTACAGTCTGGCACCAGTCATAAGTTCAGATTTTGATGATATATAGATTATTTGTACAGGTAATTATGTAATTAATGATACCGAGCATCTGTTCTTTTACTTTTATTAAAAGGGTGAGCAAGACTTTTTTATCTTGTTTAGCGAACCCGCCGCTAACCAATGAAAAAAATAATGTTTTTTCTTTATTTTATATTACATCTGCCGCTGCCTTGAAATCTCCAAAAATAAGATATATTTCTTGCTAATTACATAAATTTGAAGTTTAACCATCCATTACTACACTGTTTACATTCACCAATAAAATTTTATTTTCGTTTTCTCCTCCATCTGGATGTTTTTGGCAAAACTATTTGCTGAATAAGAAAACAAAATATTATTTTTATGTTTTTTCTGCCCTCGTCTGGCGATCTTTAAAAATATGACTCGTGATACAAGGTATAAAAAAGTCTTACCTTATTAACGGTTGTAGAATTGTTAATCCTAATCCTAAAGTTTGTCCAACTTTAAAGCTCTCTAGGCTGATATACAGTAATTTCAGTGTGATTGGACTCTACTAAGAGTATGTGTTACTCAAATTACTCCTTCCTATGTCACTCAGTGATACAAGGTCTCTAAATCTAGGTTTATGATGCCTTTGCAACTCAACTCAATAGACAGAATTACTCGCCAAAGATGACGTCATCGTGATTTTGATGAGTTTACTCAAGAACACAAAAATCATTAAAACAAAGGCATGAGAGTTATACACACTTCACAATTTAGCTAAATGTAGGAGTAATAATTTAATGAGTCCAAGGTACAACACTAAGATGCATCTGATGATTTGATCTCATTGATGATACTATTTGTGGTCAAGCATTCCTTTATTCTGTCGTCCATACAATATATATTTTATCTACTGATAATAATATTAATTTTTGTGTGAGCTTGGAAAACTTGAGGTTTATTGAAAAGGTAAACTTCCCATTAATACTTTGACCGCCAGGGGTTTGAAAAACTAGTATCAGCCACCACCAGACTTTTTAGCAAATTTTTACACTTTCCTGAAGAGCAATAATAATAATAATAATAATAATAATAATAATAAAACAATATCAATTAAAAATCATTAAAACATTTTTTTAACTTACATTTGAACAAAACAAAAATTAATAGATATAATGAAATAATTTTGAATATCAGGATGGAGGTTATTCCACAATCTCACAAATCTAGTCGTCTTTTTTTGTCGAGTATCTATCAGCTTTCTATTTGTCTAGTCGTCTTTTTTAAGTAGTATTTTACCATTGCACCGGCAGGTGCAATTTAACAAAGACTAACCAGTCGAATACGGCCATTGTTATATTAAAACTTTGTCTTGTAACCTAAAAAGGTATTGTTACCAGAGTGTTTAAGAAGTTAACAATTTGAATGTATTGAAAGCAAAAGTATTCAGGTCCTTTGCATCTACTTGTTTATTGCTTAAGTAAGAAAGATGATTTTAAATAAAATGGCAGTTGACCCGGAAATTCTATATTTGTTGTCTTTACATAATCATTCACTAAATTATTTCAACATACCACATACCGTAATACACCTGGTAGAACTAATGCATTTGAATATTCCTTGTTTGTGAACTTTCCACGAATTTTGATGTTCGTGATGAAGCCTTGTACAATTTTGGAGGGTTTAGAAGAGCTCTAAAAGCTTGTTATCGATAGCATTGAATTTTAGAATATTTCTTTGGTTTTTTTTTTTATTAAAAAAAAATTGTTTTTATGTACTTTCAGTTGGGAAAGCCACTCGATAGTGTGCAATTCTTTGAATTGTTTACTTTTAGTCACCTGCAGGAACTATTGTACTTTTGTATATTTTCCTGGAAATTGAATAAAATAAATAAAATATATAATGTAATGTAATGATACTGTATAGGCTTGTATTGTAAGTTTATTTAGCCTGAGACAAATGTCTCCGTATAATCTGATTGTGTATTTATTCTCTATTTCTTCTCTTTGTATACTTATTTGGACATTGTCTGAAATAAAAGGAATTGGTTGATTGTTATTGTTCAATCATTTGTAATAATTATATTGCCTTTACCTTGTTTGATAAGATGAATTGAAACTAAAATTCATTCTTTTTACTTCCATTGTTTTAATATGATCTCATGTTTTCGGTATATTTTAAGATTTAAAAAAAAAACCCCTTTTCAAATCATTGTTTGTTTTTTTTTTTAAATTGTATTCATGTTTACCATAATGTACCTTAAAAAAATAATAATATTAATGTGCTCAGTTTTATAATTTGTTCACTTTTGTTAGATCTGGAAATAAAATGGCATGAAGAAGATACATTTTTGGAAATACATGTTCTGAACCAAAATGGCACAGCAAACAGAGGAACAATATGAGGAAGAGCTTAGAAAGGCTTTGGCCATAAGTGTAGAAACAGCTAAAAGCGAAGCCCTAACCAGGCAGGGTGCAAAAGGACAATCATTTCACCAGCCAGCCACAAATCAACCCTCTATAAAAGAGTCTCGGGTTCCAACAGGATACAGCCAACAACCTGATTTAATTAAATTTGACTTTCAACACGTGCTTGGAAACACAAGGAGGGATGGTACTAAACCATTGCCATTTCCAAAGGATATAAGTGACAATTTTGAGCCGATTTTGTCTTCCAGTCTGCCATCTTCACGGAAATCAAACTTGGAATATTTGGAAGATGCATTTCAAGCTTTCAATTTTCAATCCATTAGCCAAAGTGATAATGGATCAATTGGTGCTTCTTCCACTCCTACGATTATTACCCCTATTAGTGTAACTAGTTCTAGTGTGCCATCTGTAAGTGCAATAAAATCAGAGAAAACATCACAAACCACAATTAACAATTTTGAAGATTCTTTTTGTGGGAGGAGTAACTGGATTAATTTTACAGACGATCCATTTCAGAAGAGTCGATCACTGCCTGTAAGTCCTGACACCCAGAGAAGAACATCCAATGATCCAGGTGTTCATCGGAATGCCACATTTCAAGTAGAGCCTCAGCCTATATTGAATCCAGTAAAGACTCCAGCTGCAACCTTCACAAGCTATCTCTCTGCCAGCCCTGATGGCAGTGACTCTAAGCGGAAGCTTGCAGCTACTTTACCACAGGTCGGGCTAGGATCTCAATCTTTTGTTAGCTACCTCCAAGGTAGTCAGTATCCAACATTACAAACCCCTGGAAGAGGTTTCTCTGACATGCACCAGGCTTTGCGACCATCAAAACAGTCATCTAGGAACCCCTTCACAGCTCAAGTAGTCAATCCCAGTGTTCGAAGGATCAGCAGTCAGCCAGATTTCCAAGCCTTTAGAAATACAAATTCCAATGGCCAACTTCCACCTTTACCACCAAAAGATAATACTCTTTCCCGGCACAATAACAATCTCATTGCCCCTTTACAGACTCAAAAACCTCAGCCTCAGAACAGTCACTTTTTAAGCAGTAATGGACCGGATTTGATACAATTTAATCCTAACCTTTCATTGGTAGCGGAGGATTTGTCAATCAGTGACTTCGATCCTCTCATTGCGAAAAAGCCCCAACCAAAGAAAGTTGAAATAATTGAACCTGTCGAAACAGACAGTCCATTACCTGTTGTCTCCAACGGTGCTACTGTGCGCCAAGATAAACCATCTTTGCCACCAAGATCAAGCAGCGTCCGTGCTAAATCATTCCATGCCGCTGATTCAGAAGCACCTGCACTACCTGAGAGACCCAAGACCATGCACAAGGAATCATCAGTGCTTACAGATTTTCAAGTTCCAATGTGGCAACCTCGTTCTTCCGTCACATTTGAGTCTTCACAGAAAACACAGGTAATATTTTTCTGTATGTTTTTTGTCCATTTGTGGATAAAATATTTGTCTTATAATAAATTATGTTCCAAAAGTATGTCAACCTGACTGTTTTTACCATTGTCAGTGCTTTTTTCACTACAGGTATATATATATTTATATAAATATAAGTTTGAAAGGCAAATGGGAAAAACCCATAAAACAGTAAACGGCCATATAATGCAAAACAATTTAAAATTAAAACGGAACAGTAGACAAAATTCGATCAAAATTACAAAATAAACTAAGTATCCACTGGAAGGAATCCCAATATCTGCAGACAGATCCGTTTCGGCCTTCCAGGCCTCATCAGTGCAGCTAGGGTACAGAGCCAAACTAAACGTTCGACCAGCTTGGGTAGGGCCCAAGCTAGTCCCACGACCACTAATGATTACAGAGCCAAACCAAGGCAATATATACACAGACCAGGTGTGAATGCAAATAGTGGAATATAAGCTATGCGGCTCGGTTGCAGTAGATACAGAGAATATTTTGTCATTCTTAAAGCGTCCTACAAAATTCTTACGAGACAGCACTAGTCCGCAAATTTGTGAACAAGATCAGAGATCTAAAGATGCAATCTCTACCGTGCATCAATGGCGGCGCTGGATCTCAATAGAGATTCTTAAATAATATATAGTTAAAAGGCAAATGGGGAAAACCTCATTAAACAGCAAACAGCCATATAATGCAAAACAATTTAAAATTAAAACGGAAC